AGGGACTGGTGTCAGGGGGAAGGGGGGTCCGGGGGCTGCATGAGGACACAAGAGGGAACCCGTGGGCCACGCATGAGAGGACGTCTGTGTCGCGCGGGGAGCTGCTCCCATCTCATCTCCATGTCCAGCCCTGTGGCTCCCTTTCAGAGAAGGAATGCCTCCGCACAGCACTCTCCTGCCAGGCCACGGGGGATCCCCCGTTCTCCTGGCCCCTGCACCACCCCGAGCACCACCTTACCTCCCTCTGTGTCACGTCCCTCCTTCCCCAGCGCTGCCGTGCCTGAGCCGGCTGTCAGTGGTGGAAGAAGAGGTCAGGAGGGCTGTGCTTCCTCGCTTGTCCCCAGACAGCCCCACTCTCTCACAGTGTCCTCGTCCCCCCACTGATCAGCTGCCGCAGGCAGGCTGTGTGGTCCTGGGGTGGGGCGAAGGAGAGCAATGCTGGGACATGGCATGCCCAAACCTGCCCCCGTAGCGTGGCCTGCTCAGCACTGCCCGCAGAGCCGTCGGCAGCTTTAGGGTTTGTCCGGTGCGAGAGGTGTAACCTGCCTGGATGCTGCTCCCCAGGACGTGCACGTCTCCCTCACCCCTGCATTTTTTCACATCTGTTTTCTGGTATTGGGGCAGCTGTGAGGCTAGAGGGTGGGAGAGAGAGAGACTGAACCCGAGCCTGCTGCGTGGTGCCAAGAGAGGGGAGACAGCTTATTTGTGAGACCCCAGCCCACAGACCAGGGGCAGAGCATGGCCCCACATGGACCTGCTAGAAACTGGCAGGAGCTGCTGCTGGTTTGACCTTCCTTCAGGTTTCCTGGCAGAGGAGGTTTGCGAGGTGCAGGGGAGTGCATTCCACCCTGCCAAACGAGTCTTCCGCTCCCCCTCCAGGTCCCAGCTGTAGGGAGAGGCGACGGACCATGAGCTGGTTCTGCTGCTGGGAATGCCGGGGCTGAGGGCTCCAACGCCCAGGGAAGGAAGATGCTCCAAACCAGCAACTACAGTCTGGTGCTGTTCTTGCAGTTCCTCCTGCTTTTCTATGACCTCTTCGTCAACTCCTTCTCAGAGCTGCTCCGCACGGCCCCCGCCGTCCAGCTCGTCCTCTTCATGTGAGTGCCGGGCAGGTGTAGTGGGTAGCATGGTGGGGCAGGAGGGTCGGGGTCTCACCACGTCTCTCTCCTGCAGCATCCAGGACATCGCTATTCTCTTCAACATCATCATCATCTTCCTCATGTTCTTCAATACCTTCGTCTTCCAGGCTGGGCTGGTCAACCTCCTCTTCCACAAGTTCAAGGGTACCATCCTGCTGTCAGCGGCCTACCTGGTGCTCAGCATCTCCTTCCACGTCTGGGTTATGGTAGGCTGGGATTGGCGCAGGGCTGCCGGCTGCTCCCGAGGGAAGGCAGCACAGGCAGCACGGGCAGTGGTCTGCTTGCTTTGCTGGCCACAACCCCCTGCTCCCTTCAGTCCCTCTCTCATGAGAGGAAGGCCACGAGCTACCACTGCAGGGACAGTTCGGTGTCCCCCTGCGATTCTGTGCACGATCTCCCTGTAGGCATCGGGCTGGAAGGGAGCTGCCCCATCCCAGACCCTTCCCTAAGGACCGTGACCTGCCAGAAAATCCTCCCTCCCCAGGGGAAGCCCAGCAGCTCCAGCTCTGTGCCAGCGCAGGAGCCCATGCTGGGATAATCCCCACTGAAGTCCGTGACAGCGGCTCCTGCTTTACCTGGGATTAATCCTCAGCAAACACCAGCGCTCAGAGCCCAAGGGCAGCCCCCTCCCCGCTGGCATCAAGCAGCACCCAGGGCTGTCAGGGGTTCTGGCTCTGTCCAGGCAGCATCTTCCCTGTCTCTCCCGGGACTAAACTCCCTCCTGTCCCCTGCCTCAGCCCCACAAGGTGTACCCCACACACCCTGCCCAGCCCCTGGGCCACCCACCCCAGCCTCTGAGAGAGGGTCCATCCTGACCCCACTGTGCCCCAGGGCAAGGGAAGCACCTTGGGCTGGGCCAGAGTCTGTCCCATGCCAGGGTGCCCAAGCAGGCAGCCGCGCCGGTTCTGCCCACGCCATCCGGGCAGGGGATTGACGGGGATTTGCAAGGATCTGAAGTCTGAAGCTAGAATAGGTCCCAGCTCGCTGGTGAAATCCCCTGAGCTGCTTAACCTTTGGGGTGGGAGGCTGCTCCCCCAGCTGGCAGCGTCGCCCCTGGCCCATACACAGCCTCGCGGCCAGCAGCGCACCGGGCTGAGGGAGCCAGAGGCGCGGGCTGCTGCCCCCAAACTAACACACGGGTTATTCCTGACTCCTGTCTGCCTCAGAACCTGCGCTGGCGGGACTCCAGCCGCTTCGTGTGGACCGAAGGCCTGCAGACCCTTTTTGTTTTCCAGCGGCTGGGTAAGGCCTTGTGGTCGCAGGGTACCAGATGGGGTCCTGCCCCTTTTGGGGAGCCTGTGGGGGTGAAGGTGGGGGCCCACCCTCACCCCCCTCCCTCCCACAGTGGCTGTGCTCTACTGTTACTTCTACAAGAGGACGGCGGTGCACCTGGGAGACCCCCTCTTCTACCAGGACTCGCTCTGGCTGCGCAAAGAGTTTGCGCAGTTCCGTGGCTGATGGCTCCCCTCG